TATTTTATTAATACCATGAAAAAATTAAAAAAATATAATTAATAAAGCCAACCATATTAACTACTTTTGAGAGATTTTGTGATAAAGAGAGTATTCAAATCACACAACAAATTGAAGTGAGAACTACCTCGCAATGTCCTTGTTTGACAATCAGCAGTTAGCGGTTAGCGTTAGCGGATTATACTAGCGGATTTGACCAGCGAATTTATTTAATTATTAACATTGGGTAGAAAAAATGACCGCCAAATTATTAAATCAAATGAATGGTTCATATTGTTCAGGTTTTAATTTTTTTCTTTTAAGATTTTCTAATTTATCCTTAATTATATGATTATCCATTTAACTTTTCCGTTAATTCACCGTTAGTCTAATTCTAATATTAAAGTCTAATATAGAATTATAACTACACCATTAATTTAATTCTAATATTAAAGTCTTAATAGAACTTAACCACAAATCCTAATGTCGGAATCTCCTCAAACAATATTAGTATATATTTAATATTTTATGCCCTAATTTTTATTTGTTCTCCCTTATGTCCCGTATTTGGTTTCAACCATACCTATACAATTATTTTATTGACAATTATAATCAATATTGACTATATTATCTTGCATTTGTAAACTTAGAATTATCTATTTAACCTGCACGGGCTTAGCTCAATGGTTTAATGGGTAGTATTTGGGAGAAGAGACCAAGGTTTGAACCTCGGCGGCGGCAATGCGGGAATTATGTCCAAAGTGGGCAGATTCCTTGTGCGTATCAGCATTTGGCCCTGTCTGCTGAACCATTGAGTCACCGTGATTTACAACTTCCCACAATGCTCTGTCGGGTCGGAGTGTGGGGGGCCCTTGGGGTTGGGGACTCAACATTTGGGAGAAGAATTACCTATTTAAATACGCAAATTCAACCTTCAATTATCTATGCATGAACAATTTCAATATAATCTTGCCATAATATACTTTAAAGTACTTATTAAAAAAAAAAAATCATTGGACATTATCCCAATCGCACAATGCGCGTAAAAAAACTAGTGTAATAATAAGACAAGTGTTTAGGACACAAGATAGAACATGATTTGTAATGCCAAGACAACGCAATATTTATACAGGACATGAGCCAACAAACTCCCCTAAAGTCATGGTAGGCCACAAGACTAAGTCGAGGCCCCCCAAGTGGGCCCGTGAGACTAGGTCAAGGCCCATCATTTTGGGCCTCGGGCGCTCGGGCTATGCACTCCTAGACCTGGGTCTCTATTATTGGGCCATATATATCCATCAAGTCCCGAGCAGTTGAAAATTAGGTCGGAGGTCTAAATGTGATAAGGTTTTAAATATCTATGAGACAAAATGTAGAAAAATAATATTCAGGGACCAAATTAAATGTGGAATTGGTCAAAGTATTTGGTCTTCTAGCATTCCAATCAAGATTTCTATTTTCATATGGAAGCTTTTTCATCGATATTTGTCTTTCCTAGATTGCTTGACTCGATTTGGTATTCATTTACCTTTGGTGTGTCCTTTTTATTGGAATTGTTTTGCTAGTTTAGAGCATTGTTTCCAGAATTATAATCAAGTCTCTCCTCCCTGAAACCATTTTAATTGGTGTCGTCTTCAGTGTCTCGCTTGCTCAAGTTCGATCGGAGAGGATGTTGCCATAGCCAAATCCTTGCATGATAAAAGAGTTCTGATTTGGGCAATAGCATACAATCTGACTTCTTTGAGGCTAGTTTTGCCCATATATACCCAATAATAAAACACACTCATTTTAGTGGAGATTGGTACACAACCTAAAAAGTATATATAGCTAGTAAGATTTTCATGCAGAATGACAGATGTTATTATTTATTAAGGTATGCTGCTTTGACAAATGCCTGCCGAGTTTGAATACATGTTATATGTTTTAACTCTTTGATTGCCCAATCACGGTATTTGATGTCCTTTTTGTTTCTAGCAAAAACTAAAAACAAACAAATGTATTTAACGTTTTTTTAAAAAAAAATAAAATAAATATGAAAGATGGAAAAGTTTTAATGATAAAAGTGCTTGTATTCTATAATACATTTGAGATACAACAAAAATACAGAAGATAACATGGAATAAAAACTGGATCATTTGATATCCAGAACTCATGCATTTCTGTCTATATATAGAAGTGCCTGAAAAGGTTTTTCCGAAATCTTAGGAGCATTTCTATAATATCAATTAGGGAAAATGTCACTTTTTCCTCCTGAGTTATATACCTATAGCATTTTTTCCCCTTAAATTATTGAAGTGGCTGTTTTTCCCCCTGAAATGTTAAATGGACATATTTACCCTTAAACTAAATATTTAATTTATTTTTTTTCTCCAACAAATTATGACCATAATTTGGTTCAAACCAAACAAACACTATAGCAACCAAACCGAAATATTCCAATTACAATTTAGAATCGAAATCTGATATTTAGAGTTTTTTAAAATCGTGAACCAGAACGGACGGTTCATGTTCCGAACTGAAAAAATAAAATACATATATTGTTGAATTTATACTATTTTAAAATAAAGACGGTTCAAAATCGCGAATGGGGTCCAGAACCGCCGGTTCACGGTTCAAGATTCAATTTTTTTTATACATAATTTTAATAAATTGACATTTAAATATTTGATTCTAGATATGAATTATAACCGAAAACTATTAATTCGATTGCTATAGTATCTGGTTCAATTCAAACCGAACCGTGGTCATCCATACGTATACGCAATAATTTGTTGGAGAAGTAAAATAAATAAAATATTTACTTTAAGGGTATAAATGTCAATTGAATATATCAGGGGGGAAAAGCACCACTTTTAGAATAACTGAGGGGGCTAATGCGCTTACCTAAATAATTGAGGGGAAAAAAGTGCTATAAGTATATAACTCAGGGGTAAAAAGTGTCATTTTCCCTATCAATTATTTGAACAAAAATGTCATTTAAAATTAAAAGTAATTTACACTTTTCTTTCATATGTTAATTTTATGTTAATTTTAACTTGGAGTTTATTTTTTTTCCTTTTCTTTTTGTAAAAATACAACTAATGTATAAAAAATATATCATTAAAAAGCTCTAATTTAAGATCTTTTGAATGTCATCCATATTGATATATTTTATTTTAAATTTTTAAATAAATCTATATGTACATAAAGTCATTATTTTAGTGTAATATTTATATACATTAGTAATTGTCCCGTGCGATGCACGAACTATTATTAATTTAACAAATTTACCAATTAAATTTTTGACATCCTCTAAATTAGCAAAGAAAGTAATGGTTGTGGAAATAGAAAAACGTACTTGAGTTCTTGAACTTATAATTAGTTTGATTAAAAATGTAAGTGTAACTATACAATGTAATATTTAATATTTTTAAAAGTTTAATTATGCTATTATTGTGTTGATTTTAAAATTTATTATTACTTGTATTATTATTTGAATTTGATTTTTTTGAAAGGAATTTGAATTTGAAATAACTACTTTAATTATATAACTAATGTATTTAAATAAATCTTGTAAATAAAATAACAGGCGATATTTGTCAAAAATCTCCACCAAAAACTTATTCATTTGAAAAAGATTATTTATGGAAGAACTATATTTATTTTATATTTAATTTCTGCTCTTTATATATGTGGAGTCAAATTAATTATAATTGAGGTTTAAATGAATATATACACAAATTATATTAAATATAAAACTTTACCAATAAATTTGAACACAATAAACTTTTTTCCATACTTCATTATGCTTTAATATATATAGAGATAGAGATAGAGCTACAATAATAAAATATAAAAATACATAATAACTTCAAAAAAAAAATATGTATAAATATATCTACCCACACCATTAATGCATTCATACTTGCTAATCTTGTTTCTATCAAAATGTATTCACACTTTGGAGGGAAAATTTTGTAGCTAGATTCTGCTTTATTATATTATATATTATATTATATTATATATTAACACATTAAGCTTTGTTTTTATTAACATATAGAAATAACATTATGGACCTACTATAAAATGAATAGAAATGCATATGATGATGTGCATTTAGTTTAGGACGGATTTTTGGACATTACAACTTATATTTATAGACATATAGAATAAATATTAGAATAAATTTCACTTTTATCCACTGACTATTGTACCGTGGGTTTTGAATGCAAGTTAATACTTATAGTTCTACTTGGTTTTAATTAAGGAATTAACGTACCATTAATTATGTTTATTTTCGAATGAACAAAAACAAATTAAAGGTAAGAAAGTAGAACTATGAATACACTAATTGTTCACGCAGTTCGGAGCGAAACCTCCTACGTCTGCAGGGTAACTCACATAAGCCCAATCCACTAGATGTTCAACAAGATTACAAGGGGGTTTGTATACAAAAGGCCTTAGCCACAACAACCAACTTTAATCTTCACAACATCTAATTTAGGAGATGTGCGTGCATGCCAATTTCTGCTTCATGCGCTGACACTGCTGACCCATCTTTAGGCAATCTGATCCAGCGAGATCATCACTTCAAAATAATATAATAAAATGATAAAAGTGTTTCAATATATATATATATATATATATATATATATATATATACACACACACACACAAGGCTTATGAGTGTTTTTCACAGAAGAATTTTATCAAAAATATCAAACAATTAAAATTTTGAAGTATTCAATTCTTTTAATTTTCCTGTTCATTTTCTGCAAAATGAACCAAACACACAAAGACAGTTTTACGTTAGGTAGCCAAATACCGAAAAGGAAAATGTTTTCAGAAAAATGACTCATTCTCTAGAAAACATTTTTCAGAAGTCATTTTCCAGCTTTTCAAACAGAACCTTAATTGGGTAAAAAAAATTGTCAATGATCTAATTGGTAATTTTATAATAGTCGAGAGAACATTTCGGTAATAAACTCTTATTAAAATCTTGCTTGGGAAAAAGATTCCGTTTAAAAAATAATGAAAAAAGAAACTTTAACACGGGGAGCTGAGCGTGACCAACAGACAGCACACGTGTTGGCTGGCCGCATTGTAAATCAGGTGTTCGACAGAAAGCCTCTTAGAAGCGTTGAAACTTGAAACTGGGAAGAAGCTGAAATCCAATTCTAGCTTTGCGTTTGTTCATATGTTCATACCTCTATGATCATCAAAGATGTGGAGGCGGCTCACTGCATTCTCTCCACGATTTTCGTCTTCATCGTCTAAGCCTTCTCATCTTCTCCAGGTATGTACCACTGGTTCAATATCTGGGGCCCCGCTTATTCTCTTTGACATTTGATTTCAATATTAATGATCCTGTTCATTAATAGGTTCCAGCAGTTAATGGGTTCAAAATTTGGCAAGGGTTTTGTACAGAGATTTATAATCAGGTGCTTCTTCCAAATCTACGTTCTTAGTATTGAAGCGGTTATAATAGTTAATAGATTCGAACACCTAAAATTTTGGTCTCTGTTTGGTGTAGGCAGAAGGTGGAATCTCTTCCAGAAAAACAACCCCATCCATAGCTTTTGTTCTGGGTAATTTGCAGTTTGAAATGATGATTTTGGGCTTTAGTGTATAGTATAAATAATTTGAACTACTGTTGTTCTTTACATTGTGCCTTTGATTTCCTCATTCTGGTTTGTATAAGCATTAAGTTCCAAAAAACTTTTCAGCTCTAAAAGTATACTAGAGGTTATCTTTGATCTGCCTAATTTGGGTTACCTTTGATGCTGTTTGAATCTGCCTGAGAGGAGTTTTCTTCCCTAACTAATGATGCTTTATGGTTTTTAGCCTTTTAGTTGAATACCATTTTATTGCATTTGGCAATCTGCTCTCTTTCTCTCAACAGGGAGTAAACAGACAATATGCACCAATCTGTTTTGTCATATCCAATAAACTTCTTATTTTCCAATTATATCCCCACTAGTGGGGGGTGGGGGTGATCAAAAATATAATATTGTGATCATTGCTGTTGCATGTAGAACTTCTCAAATCTTCTAGTTGCTATGCTGATAAATATATTATATGCTCTCAGGAGGTCCTGGCAGTGGAAAAGGTACTCAATGCACGAGAATTGTTGATACCTATGGATTCACACACATCAGTGCTGGAGAACTGTTGAGGAAAGAAATGGGTTCTAATAGTGAATATAGGCATGCACTGATATAAATTATTACTATTATAGTATTATAATTATTGTTATTATTATTATCATTATCATTGTCATCATCCCTGTTGCTATCCAAGAAAATATAGTTTTTGTTAAATTCAATTTTTTCTCTATATAGTGACATGATTGAGAAGATCATGAAGGAAGGGACAATTGCTCCATCAGAAGTGACTGTCAAGTTGCTTCGAAAGGCTATTGAATCAGGTGAAAATGATAGGTTTCTCATTGATGGTTTCCCAAGGAGTGAAGAGAACCGAATAGCGTATGAGAAAATTGTAAGTCCCTTTTCTTCTAATGATATTCATTATGGAATTATTTTTGTTCCCCCTATTTTTCAGTAACATGGATCAATATCGAGTGATTCTTTCTGTGGATATTAATGTCCTTGTTACTTTGAACTTCCTCTCTTCAAAAGTAACCTTATTCCTAAATCCATCATTCCTAATTATTGGTTGTAGAAAGTTACAACATTCACTTGTGATTGCAGATTCGCGCTGAACCAAATTTTGTGCTTTTTTTCGACTGCCCTGAAGAAGTGATGATCGAACGAGTACTAAACCGTAATGAGGTGTTCTTTCTACATGGACTCTCAAATGGATGAGCATCCCTCTCCTGCAGCTTGTGTCCAGAAATGAAAAATAACCTCAGGCATTGTGTTTTTCAGGGGCGACTCGATGACAATGAAGAAACAGTAAGGGCGCGCCTGAAAACATTTAGAGCTGTGAGTTTTCCTGTAATTGAGTACTATGCTAAGAAAGGGAAGCTTTACAAGGTAATGGTTCGGTTGGTTAATGACTTTGTGAAATTGGGTGACATGCATATATCTAGTATTCTAGTCCCTATATTGTTTGTAGTTCATTTGTTCAAGTGAATATGTTTCTGAACCCCCTCTCACCAAAAAACCATTTCATCTATAGATCGACGGTACCGGAACAGAAGATGAGATATTTGAACAAGTCCGCCCCATTTTTTCTGCATTTAGGTAAATATTACTTCGTATTTGATTAAAGCAATAATAACAAGTCCTGCATTCTAATATTACAATTTTATTGGTACTGCCAGTTGCTTTATCTTGGTATCTTCACACATTTATACATTCAATATGGTTGTGCTTTTACTTCATTTTAACTGATTGGTTCTTACCCCAGTTACTGTAGTTCTTACCATTCTATATGCTCGGTGTAGTATTGATTCCACATTATTTATTTGGAGGGTGTTTTACCATTCACTAGATTGAATGTTTATCATGATGCAATTGTTAAAACGTGATTAGTATCCATTTTTTGCAGGTAATCATATTCAAGTCATTTTCTTCTGAAGCAAGAGAAAAGTTTGTTGCCACACATGGATGGTTCCTGAATTCTGTTTACTAAAAATAAAAGAGCCAAGATCACTGCAATTCTGCAAAATCTAGTTCTTGTCCTGTGCTTAATGCTTTTTTCTTTTATGGAGGTGGGGCCTGAAAAGTATGGCTTTTACTCAGCTCTATGCTAATACTAGAATGTATAAACAAAACTGGATGCTTATGACTGGTTTAAGCTGCTCCCGAGTGTCTTGCATGGAGGAGCTTAATGTATAACCCTTTCTTCCTGTTTAAGCATTGGGAGAGAGAACTGAATATAATACATGCCATATCAAGATGGGTGATTTTCAGATGATGTATAATCATAGTCGAAAAAATTGTTAGGCGCTCCTTGGGTGTTTGGGGCACCTAGTGCCTAGGGGTCCGTTAAAAAAATGTAAACTTGATAATTATAAATTATTTAACACTTTAATAATGAGTAGTTAATATTAAAATATTAAATATTAAGTTAAAAAACACTTTATATATATATATATATATATATATATATATATATATATATATATATATATATATATAATGAAAATCATATATTAAATAATTTAAACATTCTAATTGTGTGTGTGTGTGTATATATATATATATATATATATATATATATATATATACATACTAGGTTTGTAGGCCTGAAGGTCGGGCCTGGCATGTATAGTCCTGACTTGTTTAGTTTAATAGGTTTTGAAATGGGCTCAATCCCGGTTTTTTTACTAAACAAGCCAGATCTAACTAGGTCAGGCCATAGGCCCCTACATAGAGACCTGATCTATTCACATCCTACTATCCTAGTAATGAGTTTAAACAATTTTTCGGTCTTGTCATGTTGTGTATATTTTGAACTTATTAACTGAATATATTTATCGTGTTGAGTCATTAGCCATTTAGTGTATACTCTTTCTGCCCTATTTTGTCTATTATGTTTACTATTTATTGGTCAAATTAACTTTTTTTTTTCTTTAGTATTTTTTACTTACTTTTAAATTTGATTTTTGTGTTTAATAGTAATATTAATATTAATGTAGTTTGTAAATATATAAATTATATATATAAATTTTAAATTTAATATTATGAAAATTTGAATTAAAAATAATTTTAGACATGTCTCATTAATTGAACTAGACACATAAAATGAGATAGAAGAGTATTATTGTTGTTGTTATAGTCTGAACCCATTAAGAAAACTGTTAGCATGAATTGTCTGGTCTAGTTTGACTACATAAATTGGAAGAAAGCGGCTCCAATTTCATTATGTGCCACAAAAAAATGAGCATACAATCAACCTCCCTATGTATAAATTCCTCTTGTTCACTTTACTTGGCAAAAGAAAACCCCCAAAAACATCATAAACATAGACAAAGAGACAACCTCAAATCCAAATTCCAGAAACCATTATCTACACCCTTGTTAGTGAACTCAAGAAATCACGCCCAATCAAAATTTCAAGCTCTTGATAAAATCCTCGGTGACATTGAAGCCTCATTCAACAATGGTGTTGAGATTGATGACCCCAGCATCTTTGCTTCCCTTCTTGAGGCCTGCTTCCATTTACAAGCCTTTGATCACAGTGCTCGAATCCACCGCCTCGTTCCCCAGAAGCTCTTGCGTAAAAACGTTGGCATTTCATCAAAGTTGCTCAGGCTATATGCCGCGGATGGGCGGGTTGAGGATGCCCACCACCTGTTTGATCAAATGCGTCACAGATATTCATCAGCATTTCCATGGAATTCTCTTATATTGGGGTATGTGAATAAGGGGTTATTTGAGGATGCCCTGGCACTTTACTTTCAGATGGTGGAGGAGGGTGTGGAGCCGGACTTGCACACTTTTCCTCGTGTCCTCAAGGCTTGTGCAGGCATTGGACTGATCCAAGTTGGGGAGGAAGTTCATCGACATGTCGTTCGTTGGGGATTTGGGAGTGACAGGTTTGTTCTTAATACTCTTGTTGATATGTATGCTAAGTGCGGTGATATCGTCAAAGCTAGGAGAATCTTTGATCAAATTGCAGAGAAAGACTTAGTTTCGTGGAACTCAATGCTTGTTGGTTATGTAAGGCATGACCTTATACTAGAGGCATTGGATATATTTCAATCTATGTTACATGATGGGTTTAAGCCAGACTCTGTCTCTGTATCAGCCTTACTAAGCAGGGAATTGCCTGTAAAACTCGGACCCCAAATCCATGGATGGGTTCTTCGTCAGGGAATTGAATGGAATTTATCAGTGGCAAACTCTCTGCTCGTTTTGTATTCTAATAGTCTAAATAATCTCAAGCAAACGAGATGGTTGTTTGAGAATATGCCTGAAAGGGACGTGGTGTCATGGAACTCGATTATTTCAGCTCATTCTAAGGACCGAGAAGCGCTTGCTTACTTCCAAGATATGGTAAGTTCTGGTGCCATGCCAGATGGAATCACATTTGTGTCATTACTGTCTGTGTGTGCTCATTTGGGGATGGTAGAAGATGGTGAGAGGATATTCACTCTGATGAGAGAATGGTACAAAATCAAGCCTGTTATGGAACACTATGCTTGCATGGTTAATCTGTATGCAAGAGCTGGACTTATAACCAGAGCTTATGACTTGGTTGTGAATAATATGGAGTTCGAGGCTGGTCCAACCGTTTGGGGAGCATTGCTCTACGGTTGCTCCCTTTGTGGCAATGCTGATATCGGGGAGATTGTTGCGAACCATCTTTTCGAATTGGAGCCAGATAATGAGCATAATTTTGAGCTTTTGGTGAAGACTTATCGTAAAGCTGGTCTCATAGAGGATGCAGAGAGAGTAATACAAATGATGATAGACAGAGGTTTTGATTTGCAGTTATGAGAAAGTGTTATTGGAAATCACTTTTCTTACTCCTGACCTAGTGATCAAGAAGGCATTATCTGCACGGGCTTAGCTTAGTGGTTCAGTAGGCCGTATTTGAGAGAAAAGATCAAGGTTCGAAACTCGGCAACAGTAGTGTAGGGATTTGGGCAGATTCGAAACTCGGCAGCAGTAGTGTAGGGATTTGGGCAGATCCTTTATGCACACCAGCATATGGCTCTGACTGCTGAGCCACTGAGTTACCGTGAGGGATTTGGGCAGATCCCTTATGCACACCAGCATTTGGCTCTGACTGCTGAGCCACTGAGTTACCGTGATTTACCTCCTCCCACCTACTCTGCCAGGCCAAGACGTGGGAGCCATAAGATTGGAGATTCAACCATTTAGGAAAAGAAGATTTTTTTTTTTTTTTTTTTTTTTTTTTTTTTTTTTTTTTTTTTTTTTTTTTTTTTAAAGCTGGTAGCTAAATTGTATAATTAACAGAGGGTATCATTGGATTGTTGGTTAAATTTGGTATGTATCAACTGTCAAGCTTTGATACTCCAAAGGTCAGATGTTAAATAGTGGACTATGGTCTACAGTGCTAGCCGCTAGGTGTATCAACTGTCAAGCTTTGATACTCCAAAGGTCAGATGTTAAATAGTGGACTATGGTCTACAGTGCTAGCCGCTAGGTGGACCATTATCGTAAAATGAAATTGTAGTAGAATTAAAATGATACTTTAGTCCACTATATATATATATATATATATATATATATATATATATATATATATGCCTAGGCTAGGCTTTAAACATATAGGTATAAGGTTGGTCTCTTTACTAAATAGGCTAGGCCAATGTAGGCCCAAAATAGGTCAAGTTGTAGGTCCCTTGATAGGGTCTAGCTTATTTCCACCTGTAGTGCATTGGTGCGCTTAGTGTGGTGCATCGTAAGACATTGGAATTTGCATTGGTTGGAGGGTGTCGGTTGTGAATCACATGGTCGATTTTGTAGGGTTTAGGGGTTTTATGATTTAGGGTTAGAGGTTTAAGGTGTGAACTTACAAAATGTTGTACACATGTGTGCACTTTCTAAAGTACAGTTGTGCCTTGCTAGTGGTAAAGGTGTGCATTCTGTGGGAGTGTGGGGGTAGTGTTGTGCATGCTATGTTAGTCTGGGTGAGATATGTGTCCAGGTTGTGTTTGCAAAAGCTTCACGAAATAGATGCACAACCAGAGAGTTATCGATGTACTACATTTGGTATATGAATGCACGATCAAAGCAATATGAATGCATGATCAAAGCAATATGAATGCACGACAAGTATGGTATGAATGCATATGGTTGGTACTTGTACAACAATGATTGCATATGTTATTTGTTTGTTGGAAATGAGGATGTCGATATGGTGGTTGGAGTAGTTGGATGAGTCCAGTCGTCCAGAATTGGTAATGTAGAACACTAGGAAGTTTAGAGATACTGAGTGCGTTTAAAAATGATAGTACGTGGGAGATATGTACGCTATTTTTTCGCGGATTGATGCTATTGTGGTGATCAAATTGTCCTTCGGAGCAGTTTTTCTTATTAATCTATGTCTTAATCAACGCTAATTAGTATATTAGGATGATTTGATCACAACTGTAATTTGTCTAATTTCAATGGCCCAAATTATACCACGGCTTTCACCTAGGTTGAAAAAAAAAATCTTAATATACCACAGTTCTTACCACAAAGAAGAAAAGAGTTGAAAAAAAAAATTTGACACGAATTCCATTTTGTGTAGAACTGTAGACTAAGATTGTATTAAGACTAAGAAATAGTTAACGGAATATTTCAATACTAAAGTGTGTATATATATGAAAAAAAAAAAGGAAAAAGGAAAAAGTAAAGGATGATAACTTTAGAAATGTCTTATCATTATATAAAGAATAAATCAAAATATACAAATTATCAATTCACATTATTATACTGATATAATTTTTTTCCCGTTATAACCTTATTAACATTGGCCCATATTGTATGATTCCTTTCTTTTCAACTCTGAAATACACTTTGATTTACAGCGACTAATTACATACCTCATTTAATTAACCTCTCCATCTTTTCTTTCTATGTGCTCATTAACTGTTTGATAAAAGTTTTAAGTGTGTTTCTTGATCTTGTGATATATTCTATAATTTTTGTTGACATAATCAAGACAGAAAGGGGAAACACACAAAGAAAAGAGATTAAGTGGTCTAAAGAACAACCCTGCGAATCACGGGTATTATGCGGACTTTATCTTCGTCAATCAACCTAGGCAAGGAAGTGGGGGATTAAACTAAATTATATAGGGGTCGTTTACTTCATTTCTCTATTTTTCCATTTCCAGTTTTCTATTTCTCCATTTCTCCAGTTTTCCTTCTCCATTCCTCCAATTTTCCATTTCTCTGTTCCTCTAATTTTTCATTTTTCTAATTTTCGATTTTATTAAAAACAATCATCCCATAT